CTGTGGAACCCAGGGCAAGCTCCCCTCTGAGAGTGGCTTCTTTGCGACTGGCCCATAGGACAGCCACATGGACTAAGAAGAGCAATATGACCTGTATCTTCTTTGTCTATCTCCTTATAAAACCCAACTTTCACAGCTCATCTCCAAATTGCATACTTTTGTTTAATGGCAAGAAATGATGGTAAAATTTGAGAACTAGAGTCAGTATAGAATTGTTTGTGCTTTTGCTAAGATGACCAGTCAAGGATTTAGAGTATGTGTCTCAAGAAACATTGAAAGTCATCTTGACTTGGAGGGCTTTCAGGCCCCTTAGGGATACTGAGGGAGCCTATACAAAAGTGGGCCAACAACAACATAAAGGTAAGCTAAGGCCCACATTAAGATGTGATTTGAGAGTGGGAGCAGGAAGAAGCAAGAAATGTTTGGGCTCAGGCACTGCAAAGAGCCCAGGCTGGGCAGAGATGCGTATAGCTTCCTCCCCCGGCCCCAGGCCTGGGGCAGCCACAGAGCAGGGGCCAAACAATGTATTTTTACCAGTTTCACAGTGAACACATCTGCAGTCCCTTCCCTATCATGAACTAAGATAACACATGTGTAAAAATAAAAAACAAAACCTAATCATTGGTTTGGGGGAACAGGTTTTATTTTAGGGGCTAAGAAGAGGCAAAGAATGTATTGATGTCCAGAATTAGACAATATCGGTATAGAATGTGTGCTGAAGAAAACAAAGGATTTAATAGATCTTTAGAACTAATATGCTTTAACTTTTCAGTGATGTAGTTTTTAATTTTGGCATCCTGTTTTTAGATGTAGCTAGTGGTTTTTTTTTTAAATGTGTGCTTCTGTAGTAAATTATATTGGCATCAGCTAAATTTTATATACATATACTTACATATTTATAAACTGTGCATTATATATGTATGTGTATATATGGGTATCTGTATACATGTATAATTTTGTTCTTGTATGTGTTGTTAGCTAACACCTGGGTAAAGGAGCACCACTTTTAGAAAATAAAGGGTAACAAACCAAAGGGTTGATACATGAGTGCTCACATTTACTCACTTCTTTGCTCCTGAGTCACATATGCAGAATTTCCAGACAAATGTCTGAGGGAGTGACACATGCTTTGATAAAGGATGAGTCGAAACTGGCTGAGGAAACTGCTATGAATAGAAAAAAAGGGAATTCAAGTTGTGTGGTAATATTAGGAAATGAGATCATATACAGAGAACAACAAGTTTGGTTTTGAAAATAACCGCATTTCTGAAATGGTAAATAACGAGCTGCCATGCTGGCGGACAAAACTCAGGGTGATGGAGGAGCTGCTTGCCAGTGTCTCTGGGAAATGGACTTGGTTGGCTGAAGGCAGAGGTCTGGGAGGAGCCAGATATCGCTCCTCCTAATAAGAGGTAGGAATGCGGAGGGGGGCAAGGAGGCAGCATTCCAGATTAGCCTTGCTGTTTTCTGTGTGCTTTGTTCAACGCCTCATGTTTCCTACCTGGCTGAGGGTGCCCCATGGCATTCTTAGAGTGTCTTTGGATTTTGGTGTTTCTGAGAATCAGTGTTAGTCTCACTTTGGTCCCAGCTTGGTGGTCTCTGGGTTTAGCGGAAACTCTCCAGCTATGCTAATACCATCCTCCACACTCATGTGGTGACACTGGCCCATGAAATCCTTTCATTTTCCATCTTCTTTCACAGAAGGTTAATGGTTACAGTCACAGCCATGATTCTATTCAGGGAGGTAGTCCCAAGTTTTAACTATGAGAAAAATACCACCATTAGGTTTCCTTAGAATTCATCTTTGCAGTGTTTTAAATAGGATTGTGAAACATTTGGGGTCCCTTGCTCCCAAGAAAAACCTGTTCCCTGCGTTTCTTTATACAAGGCATTTCCTTCCTGGAACATTTAAAACGCACAGCGTGCTGGAACCTGTGAGAGGATTAAGAATGACCTTTAGCTGAGGAACCAGGCAGCACAACCACAGGAGATTCTGACCTATTTTCTTTTTGTGTGTATAATATTGCATCTCTATGGAAAACACTGGAAAGGTCACAAACCAGCCTTAAGCAGACTTTAAATATTCTCAGATAAATGGCCTTCAATCAGTAGAGAAATTGTCTAAATACACACCACTCACAAACCCAGTTCAAATCTGCTAAAGGTGGCTCTCATTCAGAGGAAGGGCTGAGGTTTCTTTTCAAAGGACAGAACAGATGGTAAGGCATGCATTGTAATAAAACCATTTACTTATACCGGCTATTACCTGACAGTTGGAGGACCACTTTCTTAATTGCCTCATTTGATTTTTTAGAGATAAGGTTAATAAAGCACGATATAGTTGAGTTATGTAACTATGTAACAGATAAAATTAACAAGGGGGTAAGAACAATCATCTTTTTAAAAAAATCTTCCTATGTGTTAAATAGTTAATACACAGATACGGCAACTAAGTGATAAAGTATGATAAACAAATAGAGTTAATTCAGGAAGAAATGAAACAGTTCTGAAATACCTACTATGAATGAGGCACTATGTAGGGATCTTCACATGCATCATTCCACTTGATCCTTGCAACAGGTTGATATATCTTTTACCAAAGATAAAGCTGATGGTCAGAGAGGAGTGGTTTCACTTAGGGCACATAGTAATTATCTGAGAGGTGAGCTCATGTCGGCCTAACTTCAAAGCCCATTGTCTTCCCACCATACCACCATGCCTCAAGTTACTAGGATGAATGTTGCCCATTTTGTTTCCTTTTGATTTTCATCATCCCTTCAACTGGATGTGATCAAACACTCCATATCTCCTTTCATCATCATTATCACCATCATAATAATGGTGATAATTCTTGACACCATTTAATGCATCTTACTATTGTTATTAGATTTCTTGCTTTACCCATGTTATGCCATGTGTTCCTTGAAAGTAGGTCTCGAGTCTTACTCATTTTTCTGTCTTAAGCAGAATTCCTATTTAGGAGGTGAGGTAGGGAGAATGAAATAGTAATGGGCAACCAGCTTTGCCGTGGTTGATCAGATTCAAACAAGCAGCTACGAATAAACATAAATAACCAAACAAAAGATTTAAGAGCTGGGAGTCTCTACCATGATCCTTACTGACATCTGGCTTGGGTGGTCCACTCACTCGAGAGGTCAGGGATTATGGCAAATATGGCTAAAACTTGTGAGCAAGCGACCCATTTGAAGCCTGCAGCTGCCCGGTTTACCCAATGACTACTCTCCATAACTACCCTTCTCTCCAAGCTGGAAGACAACCACATTCCCTTCAGAGCAGAGCCCATATTTTCAGGTAGACTTAGGCATATTAATAACACCAAAAGTAAATAAAACCCCCCAAAAAAACAGACGAAGAAAGAAAGAATTCAACAATCAAAAGGCAGATGAAGAATAATACTCTTAAGAATTATTCCAGCAAACCAAAGAATTTCAGATGCTGATTTGTCTCCCAAAGAAATTTTAATAATACACATCTTTGTGAAATAATTTATAAAGGAAACATGAGAGCAAACAAGAATAGGCACAGAAGATAAAGTAAGCTAAGAGTGATTAAATAAATTGAAGAGAAAACCACCCTGGAAATGAAAATCACATTAGAACAGATATTGTTGACAACATATTCAGTGATACAGATGTCAGACTAAAGAGAATAAAATAGTATTTACAGAAATAAAAAACCCAAATAAATAAAAAGTAGGAAGAAGATGGCAGCTATTAAAGATAGCCAACAGCCAGTCAGTATGCAGAATAATTGTGGCCCCAAAGTAGGAAATATAGAATAAATGGAGCAGAAAATAAAAACGTCAAAAATAAAATTAAACTCCACTGAAATCAAGTATGTTCTGAAGATTGAAAGAGATTTCAGGGGTGTAAAAACCTGATAGCAGAATAATTGATACGAAGACATGTAATAAGTCAAGTTACTAAACTTTAAGGACAATATAAGAATTCCATGGGTATCTAGGCAGAAAAAGCATGTTTCTTATAAGGGAGGAAAGAGCAGGCTGACCTCAGATTTCTCAACAGAGATATTCAAGTAGAGAAAAAAGTAGACAACAAAATCTGGTTAACTACAAGGTGAAGAAAAATAAAATCTCAGGAAAGGGGAAGGCTTAGTGTCAAAGAGCTGAAGTAGAGCCTTGAATCCATTTAATTACAGAAGTAAATCAGATGCATGCAAAATTATGGTTAAAGAACAGAAGGCAACTATTGTAAATCCTAAACATAAAGAATGATATAAACATGTAATAGTCCAACATTGTCAGTAGGGAAATTAGCTTTTTCTCTCCTCATTGATAGTATGGAGCCATAGCTACCATCAAAGGTTGCTGTATTCAAGAAACAAAATGTACTTGATCACTTTTAGAAATTGATGTACAATATTTAGAATTTTTGCATTTATAAATGATATCTGAACATCCTCTAAACAGTCTTTATATTTTATGGTTTTCTTATGCTTTAAGAGGATTTGGTGAGTAAGGCAAAGTAAGTTAGAGATTGTCGGCAGGGATAGTGACCAAAATGTTAAGTCACTCAGCTAAAAAGGGAATTTATCTGGCCATTGTTGGTGGTAATTTCAGTTTTTCACTATTAGGAATACTCTGAATCTCAACCAGGAGTGATTACATTATGAAATTATGATATAAACAATGAAATATCATGCAGCTATTAAAAAGAATAAAATAAGTCAACAGGAACTAACATGGAATGATGTTCAAGTGATGTTGCTAAGTGAAAAATTAAGCTGTGGATCTGTAGTTTGATATCCTATTTGAACAAAAGAGAAAACTGGACATGGATGTGTACTCATAGTGGCTAGGTCCAGAGCCTAAGGTACATGAGTGAGACTAGAGGCCTTCTGCTTTTTATTTTATTTACTATATACTATTTAAAATTTTTGTAAAGAGCAGAAATAACTTTTTTTTTATACAACAGATAAAGACAAAGGGAAAACTTTAAGTTTTTATTGAATGATCATAACAGTCATGGTCAGTGGGTTAGAAAGATAACCTGGTGACACTGACTTGCCCAGGACTGTCCTTTAAGATTCTGTTGCCACTGCTGGGTGGAAACAGTCTGGCCATGATGGAGCACATCCCACCTGTAAGCAGAATACAGGAGGGCAGGGTGGTTGCCACAGTGGATGGGAGCCTGGGTAGGCCATCAGTGATGTGTGGAATAACCTGACCTCAAGGTGGTGATGGCAGAAAAAGAGGTGTTTTCATAGCAGACTGAGGTCTTCACTAAGTTGCAGAAGTCAGGGCAATGAGGAATACCTGGCTCAGAGGAGAGGCAGGGCGTGGAAATTTGACCTCCTGTAAATAGGGGTAAACGTCACTGTTCTTAGAGGAAAAACTAAATTTCAGGAGGCCAGAACGTGAATGGGCTGTGAAGAGACCTTGCTGGGTCCCCTCAGTCAACAGGTAAATCTTGGGGATTGGCAGCAAGTCCCGAGGGCGAGCTCCTTTGGCACAAAGGTAGGAAGTAGGGTACAGTAGAGTGACAAGATTTGTATTCTTGTTCCAGTGCTGAGAACGGTGACCCCTCTGGATCTGTTTCTTCTCTGTGGGCTTCCCCACCTCAGGCTGTAAAGGAATAAAGGCAGGACCAGTTGAGAACAGCTGTGAAAATGCTTGGAAGAGGCACAAAGCACTGTATGTTATAAAGTCATCTAAAAGAAAATAGCCACCTCACTTCCCGATTTTTGCTCATTTCCATTCCCAGAAGTGCTCTTTTTCCAGCTTCTTTGACCTCTGGCATCTTTCTCTCATCACTCTTGTTCCAGTTTCCTGCTTGCCCACCAATTACCTAGTTAGAATCACAGCACACAGATGGCTTGCCTGGTGGCTGACAACAGAGAGCTAGTTGGTAATTTTAACGGTACAGATGTCATTTTCTTTCTTTGTCAGAGAAACTGCCTCTGGCTGGTAGAGCTCTATCAACGTGGCTAAGTCTTCTTCCTATAATCCCAGAAATCTCCACCAATGGAGGGCACCTGCCAGTCTTGGCTCTCTGTGCATGCCTTCCGCACCAGCCTCCGACCTCAGGGGAGACGGTGGGCCCGCTGATTTCTGAGAGATGGAGTCACTGTTCCTCCCTTGCTCAAACGTTCCCACGTGAGAGCTCACGGACCGTTTTGAGATGCGCTGGCCGCTAAGCGGATATTTCTCTGTTTTGGAAACTTTCCTCAGAACTTATTATCAACATGAGAAAGCCACCATATAAGAACCCCAAGTACCAAAATGCTTCTGCTAAGGCAATAATCCAAAGTGCCTGGTCCCCAGGAGGAAAGCATGGCTGGGCTTCCTCTCCCCAGAAATGCTTAGGAAGGGCAAAGCAGCAATGGAGGGAAACAAAACAGAAAGACCCTAAATGGCTTTGGTTGATGAAAAACGATTTGGATAAACATGTATTCAGTGAGTGCTTCTCAAGACTTTTCCAACATGTTCTCTCTCTGATACACAATCCTCTCATCCATCTCCTCTTCATCCCTCAAGTGTTAGCTTCCATGCCATTTCCCCAGGGACGCCTTGCCCCATTGGCCCACTGTCCTATGTCCCCTTATCATTTATCCTCATGGCTATCCTTTTATTTTGCAGCATTTACCACAATTAGATAATACATGTAATTCACATTTGTCTTGTTCAATGATATATCCCCACTACCTAACACAATGCCTAGAAACACATACATATTTGTTGAATGACTGAAAATTCACAATGTATATAACAGGGTCTAACACAGGACCCTCTGACAGCTTCGACTGAAGTCACAAGACAATGGATGCCATCTGTCGTCACAATATACAGCAAGATGCCGGACCACATATGCAGGGCTTACATTGGAGGTTGTAAAAAAAAAAACCACCCCCTTTTGCTCCCTAGTATCTGGCTCCTCACTGGTGTAAGGGGTTGACGTTAAGAAGTCAGCCGATGTGGGAAACCCGGCTTCTGTAGAGTTGAGAGTGTGCTTCCCCCCACCGCGGGCTGATGAGAGCAGCTTCATGAAGACCACTTAGATGTTGGCGAGGATGTGGGGGAAAGGGAACGTGGTGCGCTGTTGGGGGGAATGTAATTTGGTACAGGCACCATGGAAAACAGTATGAAATTCCTTAAAAAATTAAAAATAGGACTACTATATAACCCAACAAGTCCACTTCTGACTGTTTATCCCAAGGAATTGAAATTACGTTCTCAAAGGGATACCTGCACTCCAAGGCTCATTGCAACACTATTCACAATGGCCAAAATATGGAAACAACCTAAATGTCTACGGGTGGGTGAATGAAGAAAATATGGCATATGTGTATATGTGTGTGTGTGTGTATGCCCAAAATATGTATACACATTTTAAGACAGGAGAAAACTATATTAAAATTACGCTGATGGTAACCACTTTGAGCACCTCTTGTAATTGCAGAAGTCAAATGTGACTTGTATTCATCTTTTCTTATCAGTATATATTGAGTATTACACTTTTAAGAGTTTTTTCCTTAAAATGTTTGTACATGTTTTGGCACCCTCTGTATACACAATGGACTAATATTCAACCTAGAAAAGAAATCCTGCCATTTGCAACAACATGAATGGACCTGGAGGATGTTATTCTAAATGAAATAAGCCAGGGAAAGACAAATAATGTATTTTCTCACTTATAAGTGCAATATAAAACAGTCCCACTCATAGGAGCAGAGTAGAGTGGTGATCAGCAGGGGCTGAGGCCTGGGGGAAATGGGGAGGTGATGGGCAAAGGGTACACGTTTCAGTTCTGCAGGGTAAGTTCTGGAGATCCGCTCCAGAGAAATGCCTGTAGCTAACTATACTATATTGTATACTTCAAATTTGTTAAGAGGGTAGACCTTATGTTAAGTATTTTTACAGCACACACACACACACACACACACACACACACTCATACTCATACTAATAATTAAAGTGGTGAGAGGAAACTGGGAGGTGATGGATATGTTTCTGGCCTTGATGGTGGTGATGGTTTCACAGGTGTATACTTGTTCTCCAACTCAGAGTTGTATATGTTAAATATGTACAGCTTTTTACATATCAATCACACCTCAATGAACTGGTTAAAAAGAAGAAACCCGACTTGTGATTTCTCAAGCTTGGAGTACACAGGGGTTTGGTGTCTGATTCAGAATGGAAAAAACCAACCCTACAGGAGTCAAGAGTGCATCTAGGAAGTCACTACACTTTCGTGGGTAGCAGACTAGATGTGCTTATTTTTGTTTATGGTTGAGGTGGGAGGGTGGGTGAGAGACGAGAAAGGGCACCTCTAGTTGGCATATTGGCCATGGCTCTTTAGAAAGGGGCCCTAAGGGACTAGCTTCTTGCCTGAAGAAGTGGGGGGGAGGGTGCTCTTTGAGGGCTGGCCAAAGGAGGGGCCCTGCAGCACCCCGAGAGGCTGGAGAAGTTCAGCAGGGCACCTTCTGAGGCCCCCAGGAAGGGCTCCGACAATGCCCAGAGGAAGCCAAGGCCAGATTTCAGAGGCGCTGCTGTCAAATGAGACCTCTCCTGTCCCTCCGCTCCTTCCACCCTGGGGGACACTGAGTGGTGGAAGGAAGGCCAGAAGCACTCGGCTTCCAGCCTAAAGCAGACCTAAGCGGAAAGAGGGGGGCAGCTTTACTTTTAAATGCATTTCAGAGTCTTGGCTATTATATAAGACGAGGCTTATTAGTTACGTAAATGAGACCTATGCTAAAACTGACCAAAGGACTTATCATCTTGGAGTAGCTGTCCTGGAGGAGTTATGAGACCCGGCAGAGATTTCATCATTGAGAGCAGAGAGCAAGCCACCAAAATGGGTTTGTAGGGGCGCGTGTAAGAATAAATGGTGTCACTTAATGAACGAGTGCTGCCCTCAGTTCCTCCAGTTGAGTGGAACAATCGCTGTCTTCACAGAACCATGGTATGTAGGTATTACCCTCACTTATCAGAGATGATGGAAGGAAGGTCCGGGGTTGTAGGCAAATCGTCCCGAGTCCCAGTTTGGTAAATCTCAGAACTAGGACTCGGACCCAGGATGGAGGACTGACTCTGTTTCCTTCTTTGCTCTCTATGCCACAAAGCATTTTCAGCTTTCCTTCCTAAACTTTTCATGTCTTGTTTGCAGGGCCCTGGTTCTGAACTGGACTTTTCACTGTCTATAAGCCAAGTCATCTTTCACCAGAGACATTGGGGAAATGATAACATGTGTGCATTCACAGAAGGGAGGAGCCATGCGAGTCCATTGAGGAGAGAAGAGGAAGTTGAGAAGGGAGGAGCAGGTGGGGTGCCGATAATTGGCTACCACAGCAACAAAGGCTTGTCAACAGGGGCGGAGAGAGAGGAAGGGTGAGGGTGGATAGGAGGTCGCTTTGCCAACAGTCCCAAGTGTCCCCTTACAGCTGTTTTCAACTGCAGAGTTCTGTAGCTCAGGTGGCCATGAGACCCCTGAAGACCCTCTTGGCACCCCTTTGGCAAGGCTGACTTAAAGGAGCCCTGTCCTTGAGACGAGAAGGAAAAGCTTACAGGTGTAAGGGAGTCATTTTCACAGCAGACTTCTCCCCACAGCATCTTACCTGAAATGAACCGTGTCAACCTCCTCTAGTAGTAACTAGGTGGCAAGAAACACTTAAGCTTACAGAAAACAAGGCTCTTTTAAAAGCTCTCCCCTATGAAGACAACTGGAAAAGAGAATTGATAGAATATTAATGGTTAAGCTCAAGTTTGGAAAAAACGCGTCAGCACTCTATCTAAGTTGCTGGTAGCCATGACATTTAGGGATGCTAACGTGGTGCTTGAACAGATTCACTGAGAAAACTTATTCCACATCAGATAGAGAGTAGAGACTTTTAAATGTTTTTGGTTGTGTTAATCTACCATAGGGGCTCAATCACTGTTATGCAAAACTCTAAATTAACCCAATAGGGTTTTAAGTTCTGGATGGCTGCTTGTTTATCAGGTATATTGCTGTAAAACTCTCCCATCGAAATAAAAGATAGAAAAATATAATTAGAAAACAAATGATAAAAATATGTATAGAAAACTCACTAGATGCCACGCCCCACTCTACATGTATGTTATCAAAACCCTATGAGGTGGGTACTGTCCCATTCAGGAGTGGGACACTGATCCTGGAGGGCTTTATCAACTGGCCTGTAGCTTTTGCGTGACAGAACCAGGACTCTACGCCACGCTGTCAGGCTTGACTGTGTGTCCTGAACTGCTTGTGAATGGTGCCTCTCACTACCAGTCCCTGCCTCTGTCACTTTCCAGTCGTGGCTGCTGGGCTGCTCTCAGCCCCTCCCCGGGAAGAGTATGTAAGCTCCTGGGGTCTCATCTGGCTTTGTAGTGGGCTGTCACCCAAACGTGTTCATTTCATCATCTATGCCATGAAGGCCGCTGTTCTGGATAGTTGATGGGCTCTGTTAGCTCTATAATTATAGGAATCCCAAAGTCCTTCGATTACCCTCCAAATGTCTGCCACTTGGGAGGGTACAGAAGTGCTAGACGTAAAACAAATGTCAATAAAAGCACAAATCGAATTTAAAGAAATATCAAGCTAAGATGCTTTAATGAAGATGGGAAAATGATATATAACGCTATGTTGAAGCTGCGGCCCTCCCCACGTCGCTGAGAAGTGAGAGAAAAGCCATTGCAAAAACAATTAGGAAATGAAGTCAATCTGTCAGTTATGATAATAAAAGTAACTTTTTAAACCATTTCATTCTATATTCCAAACCATTATAGACCAATATAGATAGATGCTCATATTTCAGAGGTGACTAGAGGGGAGAATGCCAATGTTGGGGTGAGATGTCCCCTTGGGAGGTGGCCAACAAGTTAATCATGGTAAAGGGATTCCTGAAGTAAGGTCAGTGCCATCCATGACTAATTCCTAAATCAGGACTTCGGGAAGAGAAAGTGGCAAGGCACGATGAATAATAGAGCAGACTCCTGCACTAATCCCATCCCTCTGGCCACATGGATTTAAAAAATGACATATATGAATCGCTTGGTTCGTTCATTCTTTCAATATATTAGTATTGGGTACCTTCTATATTCCAGGCGTGAGGCTAGGCGCTGGGGACACCCTAGGGAATAAGACAGTGTCTACTTTCATGGAACTTAATTAGTAATAATACAACTAGTGCTTAGTTATACATCATAATATTGGGTTGTTGGAAAAGTCATGATGCATTTTTTTTTTCATTGCAAAAATGCGTCATGACTTTTCCGACAGCCCAATAAATGCCACAAAGGAGATGTGTAAGATGACAGCAGATAGCAGGGTGACCTGAGTTAGTCTGAAGGGTCAGGGAGTCTTCCTGGAGGAAGTGATGTTCAAGCAGTGATCTTAAGGGTAAGGAGGTCTCAGCTAAATGAGAGAGGGGTGGAGGGCAGAGCTGGTGGTGCCGAAGGGACAGCCACGATTGAGGGCTTGGGAAAGGCGGAGCAGGGGTTACTGGGGAGCCTGAAGGCAGGCCTGTGTGCCTGGTGTGTGGAGAGTGGGAGTATCAGATGAGGCAGGCCGGGTAGAGCACGCTGCTATCTAGACCACAGTGGAATTCTGTAAGCCCACTGGAACCCAAGAAGTGGAGCAAGGTACTGGGCCGTTCCTCTAGGAGCCCAGCTTTAGAGCTCCAACATGGTGGTGAATTACGGGGGCTCACCTTTAGGAAGCACTCTCCTACATTCCACAGACCCAGATATGAGTTTTTATCGTCCATCTAACAAATGCCCACATTGTACCAAGCATCTTATTACAGGAAGACAAACCAGCCTGGCTGGCCAGTGGAATTAAGCAAGCAGGGGTTGTTAAGTGACACATCTCCACTGTCACAGCAGAGAATCATCTGACCCCAGCATGAGCATTAAGCAATCATAAAATAGCAGAGCCACCTACTGCCGCTGCGTCTCCCAGCCCAATCTCAGAAAGACAAAACCAGTGGGGCAGGTACAGGAAGGCCTAGCATGCAATAGAACAAACCCCAAACACTCCACTGGAAACCTCAAGCCTCTCTCTGCCTTTGTCCCCTTTGCAATCAGTCAGTATGACCCATTCTCACCTGAAAAATAATGCTCCAACAAACTCTCCCTATTGCCTTCAGCAGAGAATGCATCATTTAGATAGCTGTTTTTCATGGAGCTGCCACGTGCTTTACAAACAATAATTAAGCCTCTTCCATACCCAGTAAGAAGGCATATGTTCACTTCACAGCTAAGGAAAGGGGTTAAAGGAGAAATACAATGTTAAATGTCTGGGGGTGGGGTGGGGGGTGGGGTAAGGCTGCTGCCGCAATGATAACATTAGGAACTTCATTCACCCTTGACAGTCCTCCTAAACCTAACTAGTCACTGCTGGCACTAAACATTCTAGGTTTTAAGGCCAATGTTTAACTGAGGTTTTCTTCCTTTCCTCCTCCATTATTCCTTCATAAAACTTGTAGAAACTAGGGGTTAAGGATTCAGCTAGGAGAATGTCCTTATGTCTAATTCAGATGGCACACCTCCTAGAGCTAGTCTGCAATGAGACAGCCTTTTTATTTGACGAGAAAATGGTGTGATTCCAAGACTCTACCTGCACTGCCCCGATATACTTCAAATAGCCCACTGTTAATACTGCACACACTCAAAAAGAAAAGAAACATACCTTTTCTCAAAAAGCATCTTGGCCTTCCTTCAAATTTATCAAGTCTGATGAAATCAACTCAGAGAATAATCGACTAGACGTCACCCCCCAAACCTCAACTTTCTCATGTCCTTTGAATGAAAAGTTTGTCTTGCCTGTGTAGTGTGATTAGAATTGTCCCTTTGTGAAGATTATTCTAACCAGCTACCAACACATGAAGGGCAGTTTGGAAAAGTGGTTAAGAACACAGACGCAGGGGTCAGGCTTCCCAGCCTCCACCGTTTAACTAGCTGTGTGATGGGCAAGTTTCTTCACTTCTTTAAGCCTCAGTTTACTCACCTATAAAATGGGTATAACAGGGTCATGGTGAGGAAAAATGAGACAATGCATGCCCAAAGTATGTAGCCCACAGAAAACCCTCAGTAAATGCTAAGAGTATGGTTACTGTTCGTTCCCCTAGTACACGCTGCCTCAGGAGGGTATGTCTGACACGTATAAAACAGGCAGGGTCCTAGAGCACATACCCTGCGCTCCCATTTTCCTGAGTCATCAGTAAGTGATATCTCTGTCCCAGGAAGATCACTTACATTAGGGCATCACAGAGCACTTCGTTGTGTTGTTGTTGTTGATGTTTTTTTAAGACAAACTTACGGGCTTTGAAATGAGACAAAGGAAAAACAAGTACCAGAATTGCAAAGTTAACATTTTTATTGAACTGAAATTGGTGTAGAACAACAGGGGCCACCACAGCTGCTGAGCTCAGTAACAACTGAAAAGACCCTGTGACATTTTACCTTCGAGAGTCCTAACATGGTTTGGCTGGAACAACCGAGAAACAGCAGAGATCTATGTTTTTTAACACTTCAAAATATTTTGAAATGAGCCTCACAGCCTTGTTCTGTTTTCAGGTTACAAAGAACACTGATAACATCTTCTGTTGCCTTCATTTAGTAGTGTCAGTTAATATTCTTCCCCTAAACGTTCCTCTCAAAGTGCTGGCTGTAGTTTCCCTCATCCAGTACACGTAAGAAAAAGGTTTAGTAACACTCCGGCAAGTGATAAACTGTAAGAACTGCAAAAGTAGGAAAGGCATATACCGAGCATACGTGTCTCAACACTCACACTGCCAGAAAGACAGTGAGCTGGCTGGAGAGTTTCGGCCAAGTGCCCAGAACAAAGAAGAAAGTAATGGAAGGTGCAGGGCAACCAAGCAGAGGGCTGGAACTAATGGACCATTTGTGTCTAAGTCTCATTTCAACATGTTGCTTCCAGCATGCAAGTATGCATTTGTTATACATAATAAGATGAAATACTTTAAGGGAAAAGAAAACTCTAACGGTTAAAAGATCAATCAGAGATGAAAGGAAATACTGAAATTTTATAATCAATGCATGAAGCAATGATATAAACTGACCATACCGATTACTTTTGAGAGAGCCAATACTGAACATCTATCACTACTTACAGTGGACAGTTAACCCTCTAAACTGTGCCAAGAGAAATAAAAACCAACAAAATAGGAAACCAAACCCTCACATTAAAAACAAAACCACGTCTAGTTAGTGTTCTTTTTGGTTTGTATTAAATCCGCTGCTCAATCAATCTAGAGTTAATTTATGGGTGTTGGTAAAAATCTTCAAGAGTGCTTTAAATTATTTTAGGTGAAATGTGATGGAAATATAATTCATTCATCTTGACAATGCAGTTTTACACTTCCTCTCTTAAAAAACTAAATTCTTTAAACAGAGGAACTGATACTAAATGGCCACCCATTCCTGCAGCAATTATTTGAGAGTATCTAAAAATATAGCAGTAGGAGATGAAGGATAATTATAAATATTTTAATAGGCTTATGCCCATCTTCAAAAGAGAAGCAGCCTCAGGTAATAGCGGGTTCAGAGATTTACAGCTCTCTGTAAATCTGCAACTGATAGACAGATACACATTTTAAGGATCTGCCCAATGTACACAACAAACATCTAAATTAAGGCTTTTCTAGGTTGGTGGTCAAGTCTACGGGTGTGCAGTGCTGGATAGCTGTAAAGCATCTCCAATTTCTATTATTACCCAATTTGTAAACCAGATGATGTGCTGATGTAGGTGGGTAGGAACTCCAAGGGCTAACAATGAACCAATTGGGAGGCTTGTTTGTAAACAAGTTCCGAAATAAGAGGTGGCAGTGAAACAACTGAGAGAGGGCCTCGCGTCGTGTAGAGGGGAAAAGTGATTTGTAGCTGCTGACTGGCACGGGCTTTAAAACAAAACAAAACAAACAAAAAAAACAAAGCCAATTGTCCAACTTCAGTTCAAGACTTTGAGATCTAGAGACCTATGGTTTAGCACTACGTCCAAGCCAATGGTTCTCTTCCTTTAGCTTGCAAAATTCACCTGGAGGAAACGTGTGAAAATGGGGATACCTGGGCCCTGTACCCGGAGATTCTAATTTGGGTGATGTCAGTGGTCCAAGCACCTTGCTTTTGAGAAACACCATTCACAGCAAATAGCAGCACACAATCTTTGATTAAAAGGTCGAGATGTCCAAGAAATGACATCGAGGAGGTCATTACCTACAGACAAAGCCCTCAGCAGACTCCACAACCACATGAGGACCGAATTATCCCCAATTAGGTTTCCTTTCCTATCTTTTTTTTCAACTGAAAGTTTGAAATCGATGAACATTTAATAATGATTGTACCAATTCTGAGGTAAAAGGAAGAGCACCAGGAGTCTCAATGCTGAAAGAAATAGAATTTCCTAGGAGGCCCATGCTACATAGAAATCTAACTTCCACAGTAAAGTTATAGTGCACAGGGTCTTGTTTCAGTCTTTGTGCGTTCCTGTATACTTTTACTATATTACTCTTTCCAGTTCATGTATAAGAAGAACTCTAAAGAGAGAAGTTCATCTACATGCTGTCTCGGGTTTTCTAGATACTAACATTTTCTGGTTTACAGCGATACACACAGTTAGTTAGTTATTTTTTGGATGCTGGAGACAAACATCTTTATTAAAGATACTACCAAAATTTTGGCAAACATTTCAAAACAGATTTGTAAACATAATGCTTCCCTTTTTAACTGGCAGCACTTTGAAAAAAAAAAACAAACAATACGATAAGACAACACAACTTGAATCAACATTAGTTCAAAATCCTTATATTTTTGACATAACTTATGTTCCCACATGATAAAACAAGTGATAGTTTAAATCAACGTCAACAGATAAACTCCATGAAATGAAAGTTTGTGCTGTTTGATGAATCACAGTATGTTATGGTAAATATATCCACTCTTTTTTATATTCCTGGCACCCAGGATGAAAACAAAGCTTTAAATATACATTTCATGTAGGTAATAGCTTCTTTGCATCTGTCTCTTCAAAAAATACTTTATAGCAGTATATAAATAGGTTACCTACACATTTAATTTTATAATTTTGCCCCAAAACTATATATGTTTCATTTTCATAACATATCAATTTTGCCCAACAATAAAGCTGACAAACTGTTGAAATGGAAATGCTTTTGTCTTCCACAATAGAAGTAGCAATTTGACAGAAAAAACAAAACAAAACAAAAACCCTACAGTAACACTCGTCAGTTGTTTAACCTGAGCGTTTGGCCTACTGAAAGTAGCAGCTTTGTTTCCTTCACGCACGCTCACATCCACGCCACCTCTGCACACACACAGGTCGCGCACACGCTCTCAGACGCTGGTAGGCCACAGGGTGCTTCCCCGCTGCTCCAGGCAGCGGGGAAGCAGTGTAGCTAACGCTTAACCACACTATGCACACAACTAGCAAACACCTTAAGGCAACCATTGCAGTGGGGGGTTAACCTACAGGGCGGGTTTACTGTTCTGGATCAGATCAGCCTGTACATACACGTGTGTATGTGAAGCTATACACATTTACATCCTTATACACCTTCCTATTTCTTAACCCTCCAAAACAATGCTTTAATTTTTTTTTGTATTTTGTGCAAATTTCTAAATATTCTACCATTTAAGGCAAAGAGTACGCATTAAGAAACGTCAGAAAATAGGCTTATGTTTATCCAAAAGCATTTCACCTTGCACATTACTGTTTTTTTGTTGTTGTTTTTTTTGTTTTTTTTTTAAACACACATAACTTTGAAGTGTGGACACTGGATCCCCAATATCTAAAAAAAAAAAAAAAATCATGTCTAATGACAAGTTTTTTAAGGGAGAAAAAACTAATTTGAAGTGTAGATACTGGATCCCCAGTAAATCTAAAAAATTTTACTTCTATTGACAAACACAAGTCTGGAGGGAGGTAAAAGGACCAGAAAAAGCAGCTTCAAAAATGCAGGGAAGCAAAGTAAAATGGAAAAAAAAAACCAAAAACAAAAAAAGTAACTCAAGTTTACAAATACAGAAACTTTTAACAGGCAAAGTTTCATTTCTTTAGAATCTTAGAGTAACTCATTTGGAATTTTAAATAAATAAGCTTAAGTTTATTCACATCTTCTGGTCAAGCAGAGCTCTAGTGCCATGACTCTGCTTGTTGTTGGTCAAATTCACCTATTAGTCTTTTGATGTGAGCCAGCTTGTTATGAAGATACTCGCATCTGTATTTTTCTTCATGGTAATTGGGACTAGACTGCGGATGACAAAAGCAGTGAAGAATCAGGTTGCAGAATTTGTATCATTTCCCAACTATAGGTCAAAATATCCCCACAGTGCTAATACCTACCTGCTTAATCTTCTGATACTCTTGTAAGACTTCTTCATGAACATTCTACAAAATTAAAAATTAGAAATCAGAAGAGAATTTTTTTGCAATATAAACAGCCAACATCCATTTGGCATGGGTGTGAGAATTATCGATGATGGGTATGTAAATTGGTATACTCTTTAAGGAAGGCTATTTGGCAACTGCTATGAAAATAGCAAATGCAAAACTGACTTGGCACTTACACTTTTCTTTCAGATTTACTTGTGCTTGAGAGAAATAATGCATGTATTTACTGACTGAAGCATTGTTTATAAAGCAAAAGACAGTAAACAAAAATCTAAGTGTCCACTAATCCATCCAAAGGAATACTAAAAGGCCATTAAAAAGGGGTAAGTATTTATGTACTTACATAAAAAATTCTCTAAGAGGTATTATATTGTTTAGTGAAAAAAGCAAAGTGCAGAACAATTTATACAGTTTGATATTATTTGTTTAAAGGAGGGAAATAGAATATTATTCTAAGAATTTCATTACTTCTAAGAAGCACATTTCTTTTCATTTGAATGAAATCTGATAAATAAAGTATCATAGTTTAACTTACTGGAACATAATACAACAATGCATCTTGTAACTGATGACATCTTAGATTCAATTATATGTGGTATATATGTGAATTTGCTTGTGTATATACATCTTACACACACACACACCCCATCCCTGAAAGAATACACTGGAAGCCAGTACAACAGATTGCCTGTAGGAAGGGAAATTGTGTGGCTGGGGAAAACGGCTAAGCCTTATGTACCATCTAACCTGATGTATGATGGATCTAAGCAATTTCCAAGTGCTTACATTTATTTTGGACAACTCTGTATCACCTCATTTTATGGATGGGGGTTTTGAGGAGTTAAATAGCTTGCTCCAGGTCACACAAGTATTAAATGGCAGAGCTGAGAATCAAAACCAGGCATTCTGGTTCTGGAGCCTGCTCCTAACCACTAAGCAATCTTGGAATTACATTGTAAATATAATCAAGGTACACTGGTAAATAACTATATAGAAAACACAAACCCGAAACCACCGTATCACTGACCTCTTGCACCTCTAAACACCAACTCCTCTGGCAAAATCTCCTCCAGTTCTAGGCAGCTTAAGAGACTAGGCCCACTACTGGAAGACATAATGAAACTCTAGGGCATAGGCACACTCAGGCTGATTTCCCCATTGTGGGAAAACCCATCATTCTCACTTAGGTTCCTGTCAGAACAGGGGTAGTGTGCTGGGATGAAAGCACCACCTATGCCTGTGAGGTGTGACAAAACTATCTGGCCTACACAAGGAGGGAAACATTTGCTTATATTAATCATTTTGCTAAGAACTAGGAGAACACTCAGGTCAGGCTTCTGTTGCTCTTTGTAGGCTGTAGTAATAGTACCACTCCAAGGGGGCAAAAACAGATTAATACCTGTTAACACAGGTCAGCCTCTGGAATAGCTGGAAGCACCAAGCTCTTCTTCACTTAAACCCCAAACCTCTATGTCTGCATTTTCCCTATTCTGTGCCAGATTGAGGTTTTTTTTAAAAAAAAAAAACAAAAACTTAAAATATTTTCTTGAAATAGCAATTCTGGGTAATGGCACCAGATCCAGGAGCTGTAGTCTGAGTGGAGATGGCAATGCAATCAAGTATTGTGATAAATCCCAAATCCAATGTTTTTTTCCTATTTAGTTGTATTTGCTATTTTTCCTCAATACACACATTATAGTAAATGTATAAGTATATGTCACATACTTTATACATGTTATATAAAAAATAGTTATTTTTTTCCACTGGCAGAAAAATAGGTTCATTGTGTTTACTTATTTTCGAAACTATTTAAAATAATTTAGTCCCTGCTAATTTTCAATGAAAGCCAAAAGCTGCAGAGAAGCTGGTCAGCAAGCCTTGCTCTGAAGGCTAATAGGAGACCTAGGGATGGGCGAAGCAGAGAAAGACAGGAAAACATGGAAGTCAGTTCGTCCGGGAAGAAATGTGTTTACCTGATACTCTTTTGAGCCCGGAGGAAGCCGCTTCCGTTGGGCATCCAGGTTGATAAACCTTCTAGCTACAGTCTCCATCCTGGCATGCAGAGCCCTGTATTCATCATACTCTGCGTTGAAGTCATCCTTGTAATTTTGGCGTTGCTCATAGGAGACGATAGCAATATATTTTCTAATAATAAAAAAAAAAGATAAAAGATAAATGGAGAGTAGCTACCGAGTAAACATAATGCATGAATTCCGGATTAAAACCAGATCTTTCAAAACTATATCCACACATGTTTCCCAAGATCGAATGTTGCTTTGCCACTGTTTGCTGCCACGTCACTCCTTTAGAGACCTTCCAGGTGAAATTATCCCCCAGAAGAGCTTAAGAGTATCAATGAAGGAGAGTAAACGTAAAAAAAACACGGTGGCAGTGGAATTAAAGTAAACTGTGTAAAAAGAAAACAACATTCACATAGATATAGCTTCCTAAACCTTTCTCCACCCCAAGTAATTCACTATCACACTAGGAGCAGAGGCCAACCCATCTCTTCTGAGACACATGGAGACAGAACTCGCCGGGTAACGTGAAACCAGGACAGTGTCAAGCTCTGTCTAGACCGGCCGCTTTCTGAGAAGGAGTCTATCTTCTGGCCTTTCATGCGGCTGTCATCTAGGTGCCAAGGCACATTTCCTCTAGCCCTTTCCTCCCATTTCTGACGAGGCAAATACATAAAATATAAAAGGGGAATTGTCAGTTTTTAAAATGAGAGGCCACAAAAACAGAAAAAAAGGTATATTTCTTTAGTTATTTTCAAACATTTAAATGTCATACTGTGTAGAACGAAAGTCAGTATTATACTATTAGTCTAATTTACTTTTTTAATAAAAATGTCACAAATCCGTTTTACTTTGGAGTGTGGCTACTTCTAGGGACCAGGTGAGTGAAAGCCATTTTCCTAGAGTGTCAGCTTATTCAGTTTGTATTAATATTAAAATGGGGTTAATATTATTTGTGTGTGGGTCCAGGAATGGGGGGTCACAGCAGGGTCGGGTCTGGGTCTTTGCACTCTGCTTGCTTCTGTCATGGAATGCAGAATTCCCTTGCCTTTTTTGAGTTAAAACTTGAGATTTCAAAGCCATTTCAGGCAGGTGGCAGGAGCTTCAGAATGCCCCAGGGGGTACACAATATTCTTCACTGCGGGAAAACCTTGGAGTTCAGTCCTCTCCAAAATGGTTTTAGATCATCTTACTAGCTTTATTTAAAATGCGATAGCACAGGTGCCTAGGCAGAAACATGAGAAAAGTGATGTGGCGAGCAACCCTAATGTTTCATTAATATTTTTATTCATGCTGAGTTAGACGCTGTGGAGGCTTAGTTTTCTAAGTGTCATGAGACACTAGCAGTATGCTGACTTAAAGCTGCCCTGCTCGTCTCTTCGCTGTTGAAAGAACACGGCCAGCCCACAGTGAAGCAGTCTTCCCCAGACATGGGCTGTCCTGACTGTACATTAATGTCAGAGGGAGCCCCGTGGGGAGAAAGAAGTCCCTGGGGATAAGCCTATGTAGGCAAAATGGCTCAATTGATCGTAAAACTCAGGTTCAATTTGTTATACAAAATATCCTGCTTTCCCAAACCACACTCTTAGTATTTCATTTAATAAATTCCTTAGGAAAAATAACCAACTGGCCAACAGTTGTGTTGCTAATATAGAAGATTTGATTATACTGGCATTTTCATTAAAAGCATGTCACGATTTTTTTAACAAAAATTATGAGTTCTACAGTTGGCTCTTAATGCAGTGATGGAATAAAATCTTAAATAGTTTGGATAATTCACAAAAGAAGCAAAAATATTCGTATTATACAAAAATTAGGAATACTGTAGTGAAATATGAATTATTCAGAAGCTGATGATTAAAGTTTTATAATATGATCTTTTGGTTTCTTATGAAGCAACTTAGGTTTAAGTTTTATCTTTTTGGTGATTTTTCTGAAAATTCATGTTTTCTCACAATTTTTAGAAAAAATTCTCTACATGAGACTTAGTTTTTGGTTAAAATAAATTGCTTTTACTTAAACTATCACATAGGTTATGTACTTTCATGGTTTTTAAAAGAGCTAGATACATGACAAATGTACAGAAATGCACTGAAGCAGATGTAGCAACCATCCTTAGACTGATAAGTTAAAAATTTTATTTAAGATACAGAATTAGCTGATTAGGCTGACAAAACACAACCTCAATCCACGGGTAAAAGGCTAGAATTATATTTCAGTCTCCCCACATGATCTGTCATACATAACAAGTATATATCACTATGACAAAAAAGAGGAATTCCAAATCCGCCACAAGAGAAGGAGAGCACAGTCCTGCAGTTGTCATGTGAGGGGGGTGCCAGCATTCCCAGGAATTTTAAGGTGAAGTGGGTTTGCCGTTGGAGAAGTGAACCTCCTCATGAGTGGGGACAGGTACTATCCTCCAATTGACCCTTCCTGAGCCAACATGGTGGTGGCAGCTGCCCCACAGAACTCTAAAATCATGCAATACCTCAAAGGAGAGAGAACTCAGCATGGCTTCTTGGGTTCCTTTTAGTTAAGAAGCAAAAAAACCAGCCTTATGGTTTCATGCTGCATCATTCCCCAATAAGTATAGCTTTCACACTACTGTTAAGCAAAAGTAACACATTTTAAGTATAAAATGTTCTCTACACTGGAAATGAACATTTCATTGGACATGGTGAGCTAAATAGCATAGTTTAACTTTGTCCACCGTGAAATGCTATTAAATGGACAAAAAAATGTTTATACAGCCCAGATTCCATTTTCCATTCAAACTATTTTGCACATTTGTTCATTTTTAAAGATATCGACCATCACTTTGCACATTTGTTCATTTTTAAAGCTATCGATCGTCAGATGTTTGTTCTTTCATGCTCCATTTTTCTAGCTCTTGCAACTTAATTATTTTCTTCCTATAGAACCCTTTGAGTCTGTAAAAAAGCTAGAATTATGTGTCCAAGTTATAATTTCTGTGATAACCAGTTACAAAAATGTCCCCAGCTCAGCGTTTAGAAACTTGTCATAACAAGAAGAACATGATAACCCATACTAAAATGAGATGACCAAATTTTACCATTCTCTCCTCTTAGAATTAATTTGATAGCAGAGCTTTATTTAAGTAAAAACGAATCTGTCTTTAGTTTTTACTAACTGCCGGGATTTAAGCACTTTATCAGTAATATGCACAGGGAATGATTGTGCATTGATTGATAGGCTGTCAGCTTTGAAGAGTTAGATCCCTGAAATCTTCCATAATCAAATGCTTGGCCTGGCCCCGGAACAAAGGACAGGCTTCTGTATACTTGTAAGGCCACCAAGCAGAGCTCAGAGCAGGGGAGGCACAACCTGCTCAAGCTGACGAGGGCGCATGGGGAACAGGCAGGCTTAATGGCAGCCTTTCAATTGCAGGGGTGGCTCCAGGACTCTATTTCTGGAACTTCTTACTTTTCTGATTTGCAAATTAGGGGAATAGAATTTGCAAACTTTCTAAAATTAAACAGTTCTCTCCCACTGGCAGACATCTGAACTTACATCAAATAATCTGGGAGTTCCATTGTTGAAGAATGCTCCGTAGAGGCAGTGCAACCCTCTTTAACTCCTATGAAGAAAAAAGAATTCAAGTGTTCATTAAACAGTATGGTTATAAAATGCCTATAATTCTAAAATAGATCAGAAACATCTGGAACACTTTTCCTCAAATTTTGTTCTTCCGTTTCAATAAGCAACAGTGAGCAAAGAATACAATTGAACACGAACAATGGAGGCCCTCTGACCAGCGCCAGCAGAACTGACGCCAAGCATTGAAAGCACCCTGGCGACTGCAGTGTCTGCACAATAAAGGAATTCCATCTTAACCCAAGGTCAATCTTCTATTCTTTCAACAACAGTTGTGGCATCTGCCCAGCAATTCAAAGATTGTGGTGGCAGATGCAGCCAGACAATGGGAGATACAAATTTTACATCAACATCTACTGTTCACAGGATTCAAACAAGGCAGATGAGACAATGAAGTCAGGTAGCAGACTGTTTCAGCCACTGTATGTTTACTGCTCCCCTTTTTGTATGCAGACAGTAGAACTGGGTAGCAAGGTTTCTCATCCGTTTAAAGTAATTTAAAATAAGTTATTACTGAATGCTGATTCACACTCCTCTAGTCTCTGACCCTCATAATAACAGATTTGTTTTTAAAAGAACAAATAAATAGATAAAGTGTAAGTCATTCAGAACTATGCCGTGAAAGTGGGTCAAATCCCTCAGTATTCTATTTGTTTGGATGCACCATTTCCAAAGAGGGTTTGTTTATTACACTTTTTTTTTTTAATCTCAAAATAGAATTAAAGTAATAACTCAAACCCTAAACTTGCCTGCTGGCAAAACATACGTGTTCAATATAAAACAAAAGTAAGTATCTGATAATTTTTTGGTTTAATATTTTAAAGCACATATCACTAAACAAATTATGCAGATATGGAATTATTATTGTTTATATTCCCCTTCTCCATAGTCAATATGTTCCAAGACCCCCAGTGGATGCCTAAAACCGCTGATAGTACCAAACCCTATACATACTATGTTGCTTCCTAGACATACACATACACTTTATGGCTTCTCTTTGGCATATCCGAATTGCCTGCATCACTACTCTTGCGCTAGGGGGCCATTATTAAGTAAAATAAGGGTTACTTGAACACAAGTCCCGGGATATCCAGACAGTGGATCTGATAACTGAGATGGCTAAGTGACTGACAGGCAGGTTGCAGATGCAGGGTGGAGCTGGACAAAGGGATGATTCACATCCTGGATGGGGCGGAGCGGGACAGTGTGAGATCTCATCACGCTACCCAGAACGGTGCACAATTTAAAACTTATGAATCGTTTATTTCTGCAATTTTGTATTTAATATTTTTGGACTGTGGTTGACTGCAGGTAACTGAAACCATGGAGAACAAAACCGTGTAAGATGGGGGACTACAGTATATTTGATTTAGGCTTGGGTAAAAGAGCTTGTCTTTACAACAGCCCGAATTTTAAAGGAAAGGCATTAAGTCCAGTCACCTGGCTTCTCCGTTGCCAGACACCAGATAAGCTCCAACAGATACAGGGAATGTGGGGCTGGATCGTCCTGAATTTGCGATAATCTCAATTGTCTTTGAAAGGTACTACATCTTCAGGGAAGGACTCAGGGACTAGGTCTGCTTCTCCAGACCTCCAGCTCTGAGAAGGTCTCACCACACTGGGATACAGTCCTGCCATCACTGGCCTCCGACTCAGGACCACCATCTGAGGGTGGAAAGTGTGGAGAGTGGGGTATACCCTGCAACCTGGGTTACTAACTCTGAACACGAGGCTTTATTACCTCTTGCCTTTTCCTAACCTGGCAAATTCAAGTACCATAGAATTTGAGGGCAAAAGCTTACACCTGTCTCTTGGGTCACATTACAGCAAAATACTGATCTAAATATTTCAACAAATATGTTTTGAGGTGCAATATACTTAATCGAGGTCAAAAAAGGCACACTGTATTATACTATTCTACAATCAAAGCTTCTCTCATATGGTGAAAGTGGTCAGTTAAATCTAAGGATTATAGGCTTTCAGTATTATGGGCAAATTATAGAAAGAGAACACTCCTTAAACTCTATTCATTAAAGTAACTTTTCTAAAGTTGTATTTCCCCTGGGGAATTTTGCCTTAATTATGCTGGGTTTAAAACTGACAGCAGTGGGCCGGCTGAGTGGCTCAGTTGGTTAAGAGCTCGCTCAGGAGTGCAATCTCTGAGCAACAGGGTCGCTGGTTTGATTCCCGGCCCGAGCTGAGCTGCTGCTGAGTTGCCAACAGGTGGCAGGATGGCTCAGCTAAAGAAAGAAATAAGTAAAACTGACAGCAGTGCTAAGTGAAGGGCTTGGTTAGTCTATGTGCTGGCATGCAAGGCATTAAGTTTTAGAGGACAAGTCTTTTTCATTTTTAAATAAGAAACATCTAATTTTGTCATTAGGTTTTAAAAATCAGTATACCTTAGGTAAGCAATCTTTCTACTGGTTAACTTTTATTTAGGGGTAAAACATTATTTTAAGCTTCTTTGGGTCTCTAGATATTTGGCTTCTAAAGCTCCCAAAAGCTTGAAATGATTCATTTTAGTAATAACAACTGATGTTAGTTTACTAAAACAGTGTTCTCAAAGTTGAAAAAAAAATTCTGAAAATCTCCCCAGCTAATGGCCAACAGCCTTGCATAAGACAAATTGCTTTCACTCTGAGTCAAGATGACATTACGGATCTGCAAATGTAATTTTACCTTGCCTGTTTTATAAAGAATTTGACATTTCCCCTGTGCTAATATTAATTAAAGCAAGGGTGACCCTGTTTCTTTGGCAAAGAAGGAAATGAGTATTTTTATTGCTAATTGTGTGTCTGGTTAAATCAGTTCAAGAATGGCATATAATAGGTCATGTTGAGGTTGCACAATACCATGACAGTTATGGAAAATAGCAACAAAGTGCACCTTCCAAAGGGGTCTCTGGGGGATGACAGGGTCATTTTCAAACGTCACCATTTTATTAACAAATATAGAAACCATGTTTAATAGTTGGCTAAAAAAAGACCCAAAATGACTGCTATAAAATGCAAGAAAAAATCTGCTCAAAAACACACTAAGATTAATAACTAAGCGGTAGCATATTTGATAAAAATGCATTACTAATTATAAACAGCATGATCTCACACTCATGCCAGTCCCTTCTTCCCATTCATTTACGTGTGAAGTCGGTTTATACACATGTCAAATACCTTCACTGGAATCCGGACTGGAGTTGTTCAGCTTGGCAATTTCCTCATCTCTTTTAAGGTTCTCTCCCTTCTCCTCAATCATCTCAGTGTCGTGCTTCTTCATTTGGTCCTTTTCCTTGTGTTTTTTAGACTTCTTTTTGGACTTTTTGTGAGACGTTGAATGGTTTTCTTCCATAGGCGTTGGACACTTTAATAGAACTGAACCAGGGGGTAAGGTTTCCAGAGAAGTCCTAGAGGTATATTTGTCTTGCTGGTCCTCGTAGATACTACCGTTTTGACTAAAACTGTCGACAGGCAGGTCTTGAGTCCCCCGGCCTTCTGGAGTGCTAGGGGAGTTGGAGTTAGAGTTTACAGTCTGAGGGGGATTGGAGACGGGCAGGTGAGTTGAAGGCAGTGGTGGGGCAGTGGGGATGGCAGCCGCTGCAGGGGGCGGCGGGAGGCCTGCAGCAGATTTTTCATTGGTGGAATTCAAATGACCATTTAATGTCGGCGGCACTCTATTTGTTAGGTGAGATATTCGAGCTTTTTTATTCATTAAAGGATCAATGAAATCTGAATCTAAAAGCCGTTTCTGGGGGAAAAAGAACAGGAAAATATATGAGCCAGTCTGCACTAAAACTCAATATATGCATCACTGGTTGCCATAAGAACAACTGGGTAATTTTATTCAACTGAAGTTTAGCGCTGGTGTTGCACTAAACCTTTCTCCAAGCTTAAGCAAAAACAAACATGCCACAAAAACAAAAGTGAAATAAATTGTCAGGTCTAATGCAAAAAAGTGGAATCTGACAAATATATGTTTCTTGGCGCACTTACATTTTCTGATTATACAGCCCCACCCTAAGCTCCCTGAGACACTATGCCAATTGAAGTGCATTATCCCACTCCAGAGATATTAAATAGAGGCTTCCTCCTTCCTCTGCTGGCCATGGCTGACCTAGTTAGAGTAAGTGAGAGGAGGAAGGAGTCGGTACCGTCTCACTGGCAGGAGCCACAGGCATGGGTGAAAGCAGTGAGCCTCCACTTATATAGTCTCCTGTAACATGCGAAGATGTCCCTGTCATGAGTATTTCGGCTGCCATTTATATTTCACCTGCCTGATGACGGGAACAGCCAGCACCTTCAGAGTTTCTTTAAGTGTCCTTATCATTGTGGAAATACTACTCATTTTTTTCTCTCTTAACTGGATTGGAAAATAAGTCTTAATAATTGGTCCACATAATGATATGTATGGAATTACTGTTTCAAAAACAAAATTTAAATCATGCTAATATTAGCCTAATCCAGCAACAATAGTATTTAAATTAAAAAGGAGATTCAGACAGGTGCAAAGTATAAAGCATACAGCCAATGAAATATTGTGGCTTAAACTTCAGCTTAAGAGAAAATAAGTGAATCATCCCATTAATTTATTGTGTTTTCAGTTCAGCACCTTTGGTTTGGCACCCAGTGTACACTAGAATTCGAAGTGGCTTCATAGTAGTTGGCATTGACCTTGAGGCTTCTGTAGACAAGTGTACGTGCAAGGGCTGAATCGCCTTTATTTTGTTCCTCCTCTGTGCCTCACAATAGGTTGCTCACATTTCCTGACGTGTGAATAGCCTTTGCCCAGGGCTTGTGCACTGTTCTCCACACAGCTGTCCTGTCTCCCTAATCCTTGGGAGGGTCCAGAGAGAGGAACGCACTGTCAGCAGGATGGGGGTAGAGAGATCTGTTCCACTGTCAATCCCAAAGACCCGGGAAACCGAGAGTTCAAGGCTGGCCAGGTCCCCTGAGAACTCTAATACTATCCAGGATCTCCCCACCTTTTTCCAGGATAAAGTGAATCTCTTGGGGGACACTAAGCTGGATTAAAGTCTGATTGGAATATGTGATTGGGATCTAATCAAAAAGTGCTTTATGAAAACAAGTATGAAAATGGCAGATTTTTTTGTTTGTTTATTTGCTTATTTAAAAAACATTTTCCCCCAAGAATATTTTCCTGGAATATGTTTCAGATACAATTAAATATCTTCAATGTACTATATAATCTGAGACTGTGTATGGGACTGGATAAGTAGAATAAGTGGGAAATAGGTAATGTTAAACCAAAATGTAACCTATAAGAATGGAAAAGCAGTTAGACATTAAGTCCTTAGACAAGCAGTGCTGTGCAGTGGAGAGGGGTTCTGGGCTAGGAGTTGGGACCCAACTCCAAGACTGAGCTCTGCAATGAACTGGCGGTGTGACTTCCGGTAGGCGAGCTGTGCGACTTCTGTGAGCCTCGCTTCTCTCACACAGAAATAAGAGGACCTGAACTAGACTGCCCCTCTGTCCACTTCAGGACTGTGATTATATAATTTCATGAAATACCTGAGGAGAAGATGCAGTGTCTCTACTAGTACATACAGGAGGTTCTGAGTGGCTGGTGCTGGCAGCATTCTGACATGGGTTTAGTTTTCTGTAAAGGACACACATGTTCAGTTATGGAGACAATTTTTACAGAATCGCACAGAAAGCTTACCCTTGCTTCTCTCTTCCTATCTCCATACTAAAATAACAAGGACTAAAATAATTGCTTATTTGCATCATTTTTAAAGAAAAAAATAAAGAACTTACCTTGAGAGCACTGAATCTAATGACCGTCTGTCTATTTCATTGTATCCAGGCCAGTCTCTCTGAAGCTCTTTAAAAACATAATCCTTTAAGGTATATGAGAGGTCCTTAGGATTCAGATTGGCTACCTGGTACATGGTTTGAAAACAGAGCATTAGATCGTTTTGCTATTTCCTAACCTAGAACAGGCAACCTTTTGGATTTATACTGAAAACAATTATATCAATTGGCCACAAAGGGACTGCTAGTTTTGCATATGCCAGATCTTAATAAATAAATGCTGTTCAACTTCATTTGGGGAATTAAAACTTTATATACACAGTTAAATTTTTTCCCTGAATGGCCCACTGTGTTTTGTCATATTTTTAATCAAATAGTAAGCACACAGGCAAAAAGTGGAGGAAGATTATTTTAAATCAATTTTTTCTAATCAAAGGAATCCCAAAATAGTTATGTTATCAATTGCATCATCATTATTATTATTCATTATTATCTACTTTTGAGTCAGTAGAAATCCATGGTCACTTGTATTAAGTAGAAACCAAACAGAGCCCAAATGTTAGGTTATAAATTTCTCCTTCAGTAATCAACAGAAATTATCTCCATAAATAGTATTGATTCTGATAACTATTTTTGCCACTTTCTTGGATAGCTAAGCTTGTTCCTTGTATTATAGCTGCTAGTTCTCCTGAAGAACCACTAATTCAAAGGCCTTGAAATCCCCGAAAACCAATAAATGGAAATATAAACCAAAATAACCCTCAAATTACTGTTATAAGTCAGCCAATTTATTCCCAGTGTAATCTTTTCTTATCCCATAGCTACAATTGCTAGAGTATCCAGGCCTAGATTCCGTTAACACAAATGTACAAATTGAAATACCAAACCAAGAGTCATTTTTAAGGCTGGCAAAAAGGTATTCCTCCTGTTATTTCCTATTGGAAAGGTCTTTTTAATAACTTGACCTCTTTCTGTGATTTTTAACAGTACTATCAAATATATACGCTTTTCTCAAAGCTCAGCTGAATACTAATCTAATGTTAATGTTGTTATAAAGTAGAAAATGGTAAGCTTATCTTAAAACTCAAATTTGCAAATAAATTAATATGAAATACAACCAGGTTTCTCAAAGTGGAATGAATAAAACAATCCTTAGATTTTTCTATTATCCTGAGCACTATACATACTAACACCCCAGAATTAGAGATTATGGTTTTACTCTTTCATAACATTTACTATCATGTTTGAACATAAGAGAATAGAAGAGAAACTTTGGAAATGTTACTGCTTTAGAAAGAAAGCAAAGAGATGGACTACCATTTATGGTGGATTTGAATGCTAATCAACATTTGTGACCCAAAGTCAGTATGAAAAATATAAGTTACAGTCTGACAAGCTGATGGCTTTAACAAAATTAATGACCTACTTTTATACTTAAGCTTGTGATTATAAGATAACCGACCAGAGCTAATACTTGATATATAACACAAGTGACTGATCTCAACACACCCAATAATAGAAAAATGCAGAATATAGGCAGCAAAGAGTATGCAGGGCAAGACACATTATAAACTATTTAGTAGGTAAAACTAGTCTAGTTTATGCCAACCAGAGACCGATAATACATTGCACAACTTCACCTATATAAACCAATTAAAATTATGGCAATAGTTTTTATGGGTTAAGACTAAAAACAGACAACGAAAACTTCTTGCTTACTTTTTTTTTAATGGAATTTCAGGGCAAAATTTATTGAACCCAAATGAAGATAGTGACTCAAAAGTTTAATTTTTTTATTAACAATTCAGAAGCCTCTAACTTATAAAACCTAGTATAAACACCCATATTTCAATTAGTTTTTAATTAAGTGTTTAAAACAAGATTTTTTACTGAATACTCAGGAGTTATACTTCACACAGCGTTATCAGAATGACCCTGAAATGTCTCTACCTCAGTAACAATGGCAGTAACAAGCCTTCCTAACTGAACTTCTCAACGAGAAGGTAGGTGGCAGGCATCCTCTCTGGCTGTCCTCACCTGTTGCAGAATTGCTCCGAGGGAGTTCTTGTCTTTTTGATTGACACCATCTTTCTGCAGTCGAGCCAGCAGCTCCGGTTTCTTGTAGGCCTTCAGTGCCAGTAGGTGGATCACCCTGTCCCGATATGGCCGCTGAGAAACACTGCTGCTGCCATATGTCTTTCGAATCGTATTTGCAGGGTTCATGGGGGTTGACCTTTTCCTCTCAGGCACAGCATCTGAAATAACTTGAGGTGCTTTCCGAATTTGCACTCTTTTCCCTAAAGTCCAGTGGAAATGACATTGTTACACATTTGTGTGTATATATATAATGAGCATCTCAGTTTCCACAACTCTGAGTTAGGTACCTGTTCATTTCTGGAGGGAATAAAGACCACTACTTTATTTCAGATTTTACTTTAAAGACATGTGTAAACGGAAAGCATTCTAAATAAATGGCCTAAAATATGAATTAGAGGGAATCATTTATTGGAATAAATATGTATTATAGAAGTATTTTGGCCACTTAGCTACATATAGATAATAATTAGTGACACTCACCACAGCAACAGACCAGAAATTTTAAGGTTGTAGATATTTGATGCTCACCTGTGCTATTTACAGAACTTAAATCTGCATATTATATGCCATTTCTTTGGCAGATGTGAGTAAAGCAAACATGTGGAATGTGAGAAATAACCTGTCGTACCTCACTAAGAACACACCTTTGGCTGAGCTGGGGCACTACTTTAATAACTTCACAGATTTAAAAGCCACAAAGGGGGGAGTCAAGCATGTGGGATAAATACCCACAAGTGATATTCCTTTTCAACAGGCCATAACAAATTTTAAGAGTCAAAAATCAAAAATCAAAAACAGAACCAATCAACCAACCAACCAACCAAACTCCCAAACTCAGAGGGCCAGACAAGCAAGATCTCTCCTGTGTGGTGCTGAGACTACACAGGTGAGTGTGTTACAGGAATGGAAAATGGTAAAACGTAAAAAGGCAGCTTTCACACCATTCCCACACAGGCCAGTGCCATTCACATAATTAACTCAGTTTCTACTTAGAATTAATATAGACAAGTGTTTGGCAAAGTGGCTACTTCCAGAAAAATATTTTAGGCTGAAGTGACCTGAGAAGTCATCAGGCAGGTCACTGACAATGCCTAGGAACCACTCCTTGCTAAAGAAACAGAAATTAGACTGAAGCTGTGTGAGACCCTCATTTTATTATTTCTGAGGTAGAATCTGATAGCTCATTTAGTCTATTCTAAGCCCCTAACTCTATGCCCTCTGATTAAAGAGGGGAAAGAACCAGTAACGCCATACAATGTGGGGGGCAACTGCATTAGGTATAGGACTAGCAACTAGAAAAAACGCTTAAGTAAAAGCAGCCTCTTAGGTGCTGGTCTGGGGTGAAAATGACTTAATGGGGCAAGAGGTTTACTGAACAGTAATTCTGTCCATGCTGGGCTCCCCAGGCCTGGCCAGGGGGTGCTGTTTGGCACCATCCTAAAGGGGAAAGGGTGAATGATCTTTTATAGTCCTTTACTATCTGGACATAACTAATTTAAATATCAGATCAAAACATTGCACAACAAAGAACTCAATATTAATGGGACATTGCCCAATGATAAGAATAACTATTAAATTAAGGTACAATTAGAATTTTGGAGATCGATTTAGATCTGGTTTCTGTATTTTTCTTAATTTAGAGATAGCTAGTGTCAGATGGGCAGGGACCTAATTAGTTATCATGCACCAATTTATGTGTTGGGGGGCACTGTGCTAAGAGCTTTACACACAATTACGTCTCACAGTAACCTGATGAGGTGGGTGATGGTCCCATTTCACAGATAAGAAAACTGAAGCCTTCGATGGGATAAGCTCAAATGGAACAATACTCAGCATTCGGAAGGTTCTGTGATCAACATCCAAGTGTTCCTACTTGTACTTCTTGGTGGGAAAGGTTTTATGAACAAATGCCTAATATCTGTTCTTGTTTCATGTTAGGCTGCAAGCTCTGTTTAGGCAGGGCTGTGGCTGCTTTATCCATCAGCAGACCGTGAATCAGAATTTGATGATTAGCAAAGTGAAATGACTACAAAGTGTCTGGATAACAAAAAGAGAGCAAGTAGGTAGCAGAGGAGCTGGAATCAAAATGGCATGTGCTTTCCCATATTGCCAGACTTCCAGAACCTGAAGACACATTGAAATTCCTAATGTGGCAAATGCAAAACCTCCCAATGCACCATTTCTCAGTTGCAATAATGTTAACCCACAGTACTAGTCCTTGAACTTCTAATAGGGATTTGTGAAAAAATAAATAAAAAATAGGATCAGGGTCACAAAAGTTTACGAAATGCTATAAATTCTACACTCTCCTCCCCCTTGAAACCTGTTTAACTTATCCTTCCCCAAAGCAAGTTAACTGTGGAGCACACCCACCCCAACTCTCTGGGGAGGGGGATGGGCAAAGCATGTTTAGGTAAGCTCTCACACACCAGGACTGGTCATTTAGAATGAATTCAAGCCAGCAAGGAGGGAAAATAAAAATAAAAACAGAAACTGACAGTACTACCACTGTGTTCCGGGCGGCACTACCTCTTCTGTAGGTCTGACCCACCTTTGATCCTCAGTCTCAGGAGAACCCCTCCCTCCCTGAAGTAGGCACAGGGCAGGCCAATAACGGAGGCTCGCTTTTCCCTTAAGAGGGGTGTAAGTATTGACAAGAAATTAAGAGTCTGGTCAGGGATATGGCAGTTTTGGAGGCATATCTGGGACCTCATGCTAGGCTGTCGTCCATCAGTCCAAGAATCTACCCACAGCACATTCACTTTACCTTTACCTCATTTTTCTTTTCAACAGACAAGTCATGAAGAGTAACCCATTTCTTTCAAATACTGAAAGAACAATCCAGCCACACTGGGCTGCCGAGTTTTACACAAGGATCGCTTGCTCACTGGCTACCTATCAATTTGTGCCTATTTAACCAGGAAGGGGCCCTTTGATTAAGGTAAGAGAGCCTACAGATGAAGAAAACATCAGTGCTATAAGTAGTTATTAAAGAATTGGGATGCTAAAGAAAAAAAGAAAGGAAAAAGTAAAGCAGGAAGATGTCAGGTTCAAAGTGGGTAGAAAAAAATGCCTTTATTTTTATTTCTTACATGTGCCTCCGAAAAGCCCTTTTAATAAAGCCTGTGGGAGAACCTAATTCTCTTCCCAGACCCAACTGCTAATCAATTCCCTGGGCTCCAGACATAAACAGCAGCAGTGGGTCCGACAGGGCTGGGTAATCTGGGACTCTATCTAAACCGTTGTTTCATAACAAGGAGTCTACTTCTGGCTTCTCTATTTAGTTTGGGTAATCTGGAACTCTATCTAAACTGTTGTTTCATAACAAGGACTCTACTTCTAGCTTCTCCATTTAGTATGAGAGGGCAACAGTATTTATCTTCCATCTAATGGCTCTGAGTAAACAATCTGAAAGGAAGGTGTAAAACAGTCCATCAGAAAGAGAGCAGGGATTGCAGCCACTTCCTGCAGTTGTTTTTCTGTCCTGTGGAACCTGGCAACACCGACCCAAGGCTTTAAAAACACTGGTAGGGCCCTAATGGTGGTGTGACTCTGCCATGCTTAAATACATGATCCATTGAGTGGAATCCATCTCCACCATTTGGCATCTATGATCACTTTTCAAAAGGTTTACTATCAAAATGTATACACACAACAGTCACGAAATGTTAGAACTACAAAGAACCTTAGATGTTATCTAGTTCAAACACCCCTTATTTAATATTTGAGAAAATTAAGGTCCACAGATGTTAAATGATTTGTCGAAGGTCACTCAAACATGTACTGACTCATCAGAAATATGGAGGATGGGGCAGAAGTTGGGAAAATTGAGAACAGAATCTGAGGAATTAGATTGGTTGGGTTGCTTTGTATACCTAAATAAATATTAGCATGTATAAAACTTTACAGTTCAATAAAATTCCAGAAATTAGGTAGAAGTCAGTGAGTAGACTTAAGATACTGGAAAACTTAAAGCAGTCGTTGATTATTTTTAAATAAAGGGAAGGGTTATAACAAGACAGTGCTCACCTCTGATATAAATGCCATGACTAGAAGTGGAAATATTACTGACAAAATAATAATAATAATAATAATAATGTTTTCTAGGTTTAAGTCTCTCCTACTCCTCTCCAGGCAAAATAGGTTTGGGTTATTTTTCAGCCCACAAGAGGGTTGCAGAAGCTCATATTCCTGGGTGACGAGGCCAGCTGACCCCCAGGAGCACAATCTTCATCCTCTTAAACTGAGCCTGTGCCCTAATTCAACCATCAGAGGCCTGGCCTAGCATTAAGCCGGCGCAACCCACAGTGGGGCCAACATTATTCCCATCTGTCCTCTACCTAGGCTGACACTGTTGAAAGAAACCTTGTTCTGCAGGTCCTTCTAAGCTGGCATAGGGGAGCTTTTGGTATCATTTTACACGATATATTCAATTATGAATTAAGAGGTATCTCCTCTTAAGAAAATAACACAACTTGCACAACTTGTTAGTGAGGCCAAACCCTAATCATTTGCCGTGTGCTGATGCATAAATAGAGAGGTAATGCTGACCTGCGCCATGGGGTGATTGTGAGGTGGAGGTGAGTAAGCAACTACATGCTGAGTGCTAACCAGTGCCTTGAGCGCCATGGGCACTGAGCGCTGGCAATGTCAGTACTGAAGAGTGATTGACTGCATTTTAAAGAACAACCAGCCAGATAGTTTTGAGATACTGAAAAAAGCCAGAAGATATATACTGAGCTACCTAGAAGGAAAGAAACATGGTAAAGGGCTGACAATGGATGAAGATAAAAGAAAAAGATCAAAACATGCCATAACAAAGAGCAGTAAAAAAGGAAAAACAATCAACCGAAAAGTCTATCAGGATACTCGTCTTCTGCTCCCCTCTATTCAGAACTTTTCTTATGAGTAGCATGTCCTGTTAGGAATTTTGAGGTGAAGAATTAGAGGCAGTCAGAGGAAAGCAATAAAAATAAAGGGTTGGGATACAGGCCATATTAAGAAAAGCTAAAAGGAGCTAGGATTATTTGACCTAGAGAATAGAAGGCCGAGGAGGTTAATGACAAGATTTCAGACCAGAGCAAAACATGGTGCTGTGATGGCTGGGGCACCAAGGAAACAGCCCAGAGGAACAGGCCAGGCGGAGCACCTGGGCTGGCACCGATCACCGCAGGGCTCTGAGGTGGGAACACACGTGCAGGGAGGGCAGCCAGCTCTTCTGAAATGGAACAGGTGTAATGTGGTTCGGATTGAAATTTATAACCCCCAATTTTATGTGGTCACTCTCAAAAATGTATACACATCATGTATAGTGCCTATAAGAAACCCTGCAAATTCTAAAATTTCCGTACCATTAGGGGGTGTATGGCCTATGGGATTGTGGGTGTTGAAAAGTCTGTTGTGTAAGCTGCAAATGAACTGTTCCTGACCTTATCAAAACAAATAAAACACATGAACCTAGTGGACACCCAAGGATCATTCAGTGGAAAAGTACAGTAATCATTGCTGATTTTCAGGCTTTGGAATAAATCAAGGTAAGGTTTTACAGCTAGTTACACTGCGCGCGAACAAAATCATTTTGATGGCTTGAGTTTTCTCTTCCTTTGTAAAACACATCAATTCGTATCGCTGTTTATAAAATGGTGATATTAGAGTAAAAATAAAAAAGACTTTCAAAGCAATAGGGACATAAAATTCGTAGTCTGTATTTAAATTTAAGAATAGTGGATCTTATACATTTAAAATTTTTGAGATTTAGCCTACTAGCACAGAAAGTTAATTAGGTTACTTGTGAGGATAAAGGAGAAAGAAAGGAGGCTAGAAGTTACTGCCTTACTCAGCAGGAAAGGGGAAGGTGAAAAATCTCATTGCTGGTAACTTACTGGGAAAGGAACTGGGCCTCATGGGTAGAGATATCTGGGGAAGCCATGAATTGTTGTTCAACCAAACTAAATATATCAAAGCTAAGCACCAAGTCCCAGGAGCACTGGCTTTGTTCCAAGGAAATACTTATTAAAGACACCAGTGGAGCTTCTCAAGGCTGCATGTAATATAGCTGGGTCAGCAGTGGAGAAATGCAGAAGTAGAATCCTACCAAACCATGGAAAGATATTAACGGGTTTGGTTCTTCAAGGGACTGCTTTTGTGAGCATTTGTGTTGTCCACATTGATGTTCTTTTCATCATTTACTATTCAGTGACTTGTGTTATTAAACTGACCAAGGTCTCAAAGAGCTCATTCTCACTCTTGATAATTCTCTTTATTACTAATAAGCACTGTGAATCGACTCTTTAAAATTGTTGGGGTCACTACACATAAAGGAGAGACTCATCTTGCTGTTCTGGTCTTCCTTCCCTTCAGTCTAATGGATATTTGAGTGAATTGATGATAAACATGATGGGGCTGGGGCAGGCTCTTAATTGATGGATAGCCGAGGAAGAGGATCCATAAATGACACCCCAATCGAGGTACCGAGGAGCCATTACCTTAATGCTTTGCTACAAGCACATCTTACACTTTTGTAATAAAAATTCCCTGTTTGGAAAAATCCTCTGAAAACTTAAGCAAAAGCTGCAACAAGGAGGTTACTAACTCAAATCTTAATACGTTTTTTAAAAAAGTAACCCTACAAAAGTGCAAAACAAAAAACACGTCCACTGTTGAAATCACATCATCCAATGACAAAGAAAACACAGTACCAGAACCCAGTATTGTAACATAATAACACACAGCAACAGTGGATTCAGGATTTATGAAAGAAATGTTTTAAATCTGCTCTTCAATTAACCAGCAGTCTGAAAAAAACAAATGACTTTGACCATGTTATCCAAAATGTTCTGAAAACTAATTTCTGTGTTTTCATGAAATTAAATATTACCAGTATTTACCTACAGTGATCCTGTATTATTCCAATCAATGAATGGGAAGAAAGATATCTATACAAACCTACATATGGTCCACCGGGTTTGATAACTTTTGTGCTTCGGTTGCGAGATTCTTCTTCTGCCTGGGTCATTCGTTCTCGTGTCATCTGATACGAGTCGTTTGTTGCACACACTGTAATTTTATCTTGTATAAATCCCAGGCAATTGAGCTGGGAGGCTCCAGAGCTGTCAAATAAGATGGTGGCTTTATGAGAGATGCCCCTTACTTTGCACAATACAGGCAAGCAAGAATTGTATAATTCTAAAACCAGCAGCCCAAGTAACTTTGCAATCCTAAAATACCTAATATTAGTAATTTTTAAATGTAATGATTATTTAAAATATGAGTTTCTCTTCTTCATTTCATGTCACATTTGTTTCTATATTGTGAAGAGAATGGGTGAAGTGAGCTCTCAGAGACCAAATCCATGAAATTTTGATTAAAAAAAAAAAATCAGTATTTGTAGTGAAGACCAGAGTCCTGATGGGCAATATGGTTCTACTTTAATAGTCAACTATTTAAAAAAATTATCTACCACTGAAATGAGAAATGTTAAAAGTTTACTTTTAGTGGAACCATAATATGCATGTTTTAGAACTGACTAGATGAAACCGACCCATCACAATTCTTTTTGTTTTTAATAAGATACTAATTATAAAGCTAAATATTGCCAAACATTAAAGCTTACTTTATGGTTATTAGCCCAAATATCCTAAACATTTGTAGAGTTTATATTTATCACTTTGTTAATCTCTATATAAGATGACCTATTTATATAGCAAATATTGAAGTAAATACTGAACAAGGGATTTTGGCAGAAATATTTAAAACTTGAATATTAACTTTGGCCCAGAAAATGGTTCTGTTTCCAAGTATTATGCTAATATTAGGGGGTCATAGTAACATTATACTGGTAATTTGTGCAGGCCTGGGGGGAGCAAAGGAGAGTTTTTCAGTTAAGCCAAAGAGAGCCATAAAGGACAATTAAGAGATGAGGCTGAAAAGGGCATGCGAAGTACATTACACAGAGGTTTGGCGGTCATGGTATGGATTTTGGACTTGATGCCAAGAATAAGAGGCTGAAAATAGGGGAGAGAAAAGACCTCATTTGTACTGTAGAAAGATCAATCTGAATGAGAAACAGATCGGGAGGAAGTGGGCACAGGAGCAAAAGCAGGAAGCAGTGAGGAGGCTACTGAAGGATCACAGGCCAGAAGGGGTTGCTTGAATCAGGGCAGGGTGGTGTGAGTGCAGAACAGTAAAGGTTCCAGAGACGTGAGGAGGCAGGATTGACAGGATTTGGTCAGTGATTAGCCATAGAGGGAGGGGGAGGGTGGGGGAAGTTAAAGATCGTGCCCAGGTTACCTACCAGGTGTGTGGAGCTGCCATTTATTGAGACATTGGGGTAGGGTTGGAACAGAGAAAATGAGTTCAGTGTTGGACCTGGTGACTTGGAAGAAATGAGATGTCTCAGGAGGGAACCAAGTGTGCAGAACACTAATATTTAAAATAAGCAATAGGAAGACAAAAGGACCACAGAAGACTGAAAGGGCACAGCCAAAGAGGTACAAGGAAATCAGAAAAGCAGAGTCATGCAAGCCACTGGATAGAGTGCTTCAAGAATCAGAGTGGTCAACAGTGTGAAATGCTGGCTCCAAGTCCAGAATAATGAGACTCTAATCAGCATCCACTGGATTCAGGGGTAAGGAGGTCAGGGCCCCCTTGGGGGAACAGTTTCGGCAGAATGGGAGAGCTGAAGCCAGTGAGTGCTGAAGCCAGTGAGCGCAAAGGAGATTGTCTTTTTCTTTTCAAATAAGACTCCCCTGAGCATCTATGAATGCTGAAAAACCGATAAAAGGAGGGGAAGGAAGAAGGGAGGGAGGTTTAGCCTTCCAGGGAAGCGGGGTGGAGAAGGAAGAGGAGGAAGACAAGATTGCAGGAGAGCACAGAAAAGACTGCAGTATGAAGGTCTGGTGGCAGGAAGTCTGAATTTCAATATCTCCCCCTATTATTTACCAAATAATGTACATAGTAAGAACAAGCTGAACCTGTTGCCAGGATGAAGTTTTAGTTTACACAATTCAGTATCAAGAATCAGATCTTTACGTGCAAACTAAGTAAGAGTTAAACCCTGCAGGCAAGAAGGCACTAGAATTCTCCGCTAGTCACTTTTCAACTGAGTTATACTTTAACATATGCGCATAAACGGTCGCACAGTCTCTCTCTAACCTCACCCACAGTTTCCCACTCCTGAGTGGGCATTACTGTGCAGGGCTGTACACTCAAAACCATGTGTTTCTTACCAAGGCTGTGAATGGGCAATTTAAGAAATTTGTGAAAGGTAATTTTGACTCTGGGTTTTCTTTCATTTTACATATGAGAAAAGTGTGGCTTAAGGAGATTTAAAAAGAAAGGTAAGAAAGGAGACGAGTTAATATGTAATTTTTGGACATTGGTTGGGCCTTTAGTTTGAGCTTCACAGACACTGTTAAGACTAAAAAGGGGGCATAAGAAAGTCCCTGCCTTTGAGGCGCTTGTACAATTTCAGGAGAGGCTGGATCAATGGGAAAATAAAAATTAAATCGGAAAGGTGGGTGCAGATTATGAAAAGATTTGCTTGCCAGGTTGAGAACTGAGAGTTTGAGTGCTTTTGTTATTATAGTGGCAAATTTCAATTTATATCCATGCCATACCATTTTATAAAGCACCTTGGATCATTCTTTCATACTTGGATCATACTACTGCATTTGCTCCAATTTTCTCACAATAATGATTTCTTTTCTCTTGCTGCATCATTATTGTTTTCTTTACACGTGACTTTAAATCCTCCAAACATGCAAGGTAGAAATAAACACACAGGGTATTGGTGATGAAAGGGAGAAATCATATCACCTATGATGGTATGACTGGTTTTGAAGAGGGGTTTAAGTTTCTTAATAAAATTCCTAATGGGACATAGTTCAATTTAATATCAAAATGTTCTCACTATAATAAAACAGTTCTCTTAAAAACAAGCATTTCAGATGTTGGCACCGCCATTTGAAATGGGTGTGCTCTGTGGTGTGGAACGAACACTGGGCTGGGAGTTAGGAGAACTCAGTTCTCATTTTCAACCCAGTCACTAACTAACCAGCTATATAACTGTGAGTGAATCACCTGTGCAAAGAAGGGGTTGAACTACACAATTATCAAGAACCCTTATACTTGGTGATTCTATAGTTTATTATAATACTGTCCCATAGAACTTTCTGCAATGGTGAAATGATCTGTATCTGTGTTATCCACTCTGATAGCCATTAGCCACATGGCTCTTACGCCCGTAATGTGTGGTTAGTGTGAGTGCAGAACTGAATTTTTCATTTTATTTCATTTTTTTCAACTGAAATGTAAATAGCCACATGTGGCCAGTGGCTGTCACAGTGAATAGTGCAGAAAGGTCTATATAATCTAGAACACATGCAATTTATACCAAAAAATATAAGCTTGGGAGTGGGCAAAATTAACATATACTCAGGAAAATGGCAGATGAAGATAAAACAAAATGTTATTTGGTCACCTTAAATGGGAGGAGAAATTCAGAACTCTTTCAGTGATGTGTCTTATTTTATATCTTCCTGCACTTTCCTTTTGGCTTTCTCCCACGCAGGGGAGCGCTCCCACAGTTTCAAGTACAGCACAGCTAAGAGATAGGGATGGAGGGCCCGGCACTTTGGGCCAATATCATTGTTTCCTGGAGGTTGGGGGCTCTAAGGCCTTGTCTTTATCCACAGGCAGAACACACTCCCCCTACTCAAGGGGCCCATTCTTTAATCAGAAACAACCACCGCAAAGAAGAGTGAAACAAGTGGCGTATTGTTGACAGAGGATCTCGGTAGATAAGGGTTCCATGGTACCCTGGAATGAGGGTGTGTATTCTTGTCTTCCTCCCTCCTTTTTTTTTTAATCAGAAATGACTGCTATACTGGGGTTAATTTCTCATTTCCATTCTGCTGCAGAATAACGATTTAAAAAAAAATCTATCTTAAAACAAGGCTTGCAAAGGGAAGAAGGGGATACATAAGATATATACACACATACATATATTTTTTCTCCTTTACTCTTGAATGCAAGCCTTGAGTATGCAATAAAGTACTCTTATTTAAATGCAGTGAATAAAAAAGTTTAAATCCCCAAACTTCTCTTCAATTAAAATAAACAAACCACCTTTGATAGGTTAAAAAATCTGTACTTTAAAAAACCCTCGAGGGCAAGAACATTAAAATTTTGTGATTGTATCCCACAGTGACAAATATAATTTCTAGTGCATAGTAAGTGCTCAATATTTTCTCAAATAAATAAATGAGCTTTGCCATTCAGTTCAATAAATATTAACAAATGACTACTCTGTATTTCGTTTTTAATTTAAAAAACACTCAGTTTCCCTTCAGTGTACCTTGAAAAGCACTTACCTGGAGAGCCTTTGCTGGATGCAGTCAAAGCTGCCCTGAGGGTTGTCTTTACCCACGTTTGACAGATAGAAGTTAAATGTATGCACTTCATTGAGGGGATCATTTTTGGGAATTTTGACAAGCTAAAAGGAGGGAAAAAGAGAGAAGCACCTCAAATTATAAATTTTCCTAGAATGGTCTGATGACTGACAGACTGTTTTCCAAGTAACATTCATTTTATACCCAAGCTCTCTTGAGCATTTAAATTTATAGCACTGAAATTACCAAATCACCCGAGGGATCTAGCAAGCATGCCTATAACTCACCACGTTCTCATGTCTGTTTTCTACCGTTAAGTGTCATAATCACTTCTACTCAGTCCGTTTAAGAGGAAGCCTCTTCATTTCAAATGAGCAAATGATTACAGTTCACATGGAAGAGTTATTAGTGAATTGGCCAAAGAGCTCTTCCTATTTTCAGATACACAGGTTCTGTCTGGCTGACATGACTCCTCCTGAAGAGTTCCTAGATATTTAAATGTTCTCTGAGATAGAGTCCATATCCCAATCTTTTGCTCCTTATTGTATACACATTTCATTTTAATTCTTGCTTCGAGACATATGTGTGTGTGTGTGTGTGTGTGTGTGTGTGTGTGTGTGTGTGTGTAAAATAACTAGCAGCATAAGGTGAATGCTGTAATTATATTCACAACAGAAAGCAGTTGGGTGTTTCTCTCTGCCCTGTGATTCCCTGACTTCCCTCATGTTGACAGGACAGGCTTAGCAGCCTACAGAGATGATTCTGCAGAGCACTCCAAGGCCGAGCCACAGGTGACATGGAAACAGGCAGTTGTCCTCTATGCTCTTGCTCCAAGTCTGATTTCTCTACCAGATGGGAAACCCTGTCCGTGAGTGAAGGGACAGGGCTGCCTGTGCTAGATGAATGAGCCCCTGCACGGGGCACATTTTCCTGGCACGTGGTAGAGGCTCAGAAACGTCTGTGAACAAATGAACTGGAACCTCCTCACTGTCTTTCAACCTCTCCACCCTTTTCAGCTCCTGAGACCTTTCTTCCCTTGGGTATGCAAGGGCCACCATGGTGATAATTACAAAAAGGATAAGTTGGCATGAATGTAAAATATGAGATCCTGCTCTCCAGTCCCCAAATACAGAGTCTTGGTAATTTATTAGACAAATAGGGAAGGGAAAGTATTTTATAATTCTCATTCTTCTCCCACAAATCTGTCCTTTTCACGACTGGAAGATCAATAAGACTCAGAGCTAACTGGCTGCTGTGTGAGTGTGTATACACACACTCATACACGCATGAATGTGCTAGAAGGCATAATCGTGTACGACCTCTGCTTGGCCCTGTAGGACACCCTGCAACTCTGACTTGCTCATTTTAAAAAGCTCCTAACCTTTGACCTACAGAAATGAATTTGGAGCCACCAATTCCAACCCATACCCCACCCCTAAAAAAGTAAAGCCAGGTAATAAGGGAAATAATTTGCAGTGTCTAGCACATAGTAGACATGCAATAAATGTTTGCTGAAAGAATGAACAAGGAGAAGAAATAAGAAGTCAAAGACTCTCCTTTGAAAAGGAGATTCAAAAGACTCATGTAGAGCTTGAAAGGCCAAATTTCAACCAAAGATGTTGAATATTAGACAATAGCCCATAGAGCCTCTATCATCCATGAATTTGACTATCATTGGCTCCCTATTTTAAATTACTTCCAAGTCCTAGAGTAACAAGCTTCTACATTTGTTATCTACTCTATAAATTATATTTTTGGGGCCCTAAAGTTCTTTCTAAAATGCTGGAACTTTGTGAAGAAGTCTTAATTTATTCTGTCTGTAAGCATACATCAGGACAGCACCCCGCCCCACACACACACCCAAAGAATCACTTAGTCTAAAATGTCAGTGGGCCCAGGTTGAGAAACTATGAATTTCAAACTATGAAGTAGGTCAGTCCCTTAGAAGAGAAGTCAGAGAATCCTGACTTCACTGACTTCTGAAAATTAATAAAGTGGAGAGAAAAATGGTATCTTTAAAGAAATAAAAGTACCCATATTATTTCAAACGAAAAGGAGTAATTTTAACTCCTTTAACAAAGCCAACAAATAAACAAATGGATTAAGAGCAGTTATAAAAAAGTACTTCTTTTGGAATGCCTACTTTAGATATCCATTTTTAAAAAGGAGGTCTTGAAGAGTACTAATTACTTTGAATGAACTCAAAATGAGAAAGAATCACTTCACGATAAAGAAAGTGAATCTTTGTAGTGACAGTCTGAGAATTGTTCCCCTAGTAAGTTCCAAAAACTTCAATGGCAATAACAACGAGAAAAGACTAGATAGTTTTCAACTTAAAAAAAAAACAAAACAAAACAGAGTAACACTTATCTGAAGAGTGCTTGTAATCCCTGCCATTCCTCCTTATTCTTACATATACCACACATGTTAAGGTCAGTGACAAACAAGCTTTGTCCTCAGTTCTGTGCAAGAAAGGTAGTATGATGGAGAATGGCCGCAGGGCTTCTCAGCACTCTTCTACCCAGTCCCACTCTGTGGGTGGGAGTGTGAGCAATGTGGGGATGGTGGCAGAGGCAGGCATCGGGGCACGCCGTATTCATTTGGGAAACCAAATGCATATCATGCATATCATGGGGTTTTTTCCAGCTATGGAGCTGTGCTGGGGGGTGGAGGTTACGGAATGATGAGGGAATATGGTATTCTGAGTTGCTACATCACTTTTCCTCAGTTGTTTTCAGAACAACAGCAATGTGGATGGTATAGACTGACCTAATCTCGGGCTTTTCCTGTAAAAGGTCTGAGAGCAAGATTTCGCCAAACAATCTTTAAAGTCTTTAAAATTTCAAAAGCTTAAATGACATGGTCTATAGATATAGCGTATCTAATTTCCTGAAGATGGTACAAATTAGATACAAATTTTAATTGTATCCATATCTAAATATACTCTTAAGAATGAAATAGATGTACAAAGGAGCACTTACGTTTATAGCTGGTAAGTCTGCGTAACAGTTTGGCCCCATGGGCAATAAAGCAGGGGACTTAGTGGAAATAGCAGGCTGTGTATGACAATTAGGGCAGGTGGGGTGGGGTTTGGGGTGGGGGCTTCAGAACTAAGCCAAGGGGACCTCAGAGTGGAACAGAGCCTGTGGGGCTGCTGAAGGCCACAGCTAAGGTGGGATCTGAGACCTTGTCTAATCAAGGGTGATAAGTGAGCCATTTCAGAGATAGACTTCAGAGGAACTTGTGAATATTTATCATTCATCTCTTATATAGGAGCCTATTCTATAGATTGTCTAGATAATGAAATAGGAGTCAGTCTTTTCTTTTAGAATGGTTACAAAGCATTTTCTTGTAAACTGGCCTTTGAATTTACGGAATATGAAGAAGGGGAGATGAAATGAAATGACTGTTATTGGCAGGCTCTGGGGACTGGGCTAACCACCATGGGAAAAGAAATTCTGAGGTCTGATTTAGAAGCAAACTTGGAAGAGCATCCCTTTGTGTGATAGGAACTTCTCAATATTATTGTATTTTAAGCATTTCCCATAGGTCAGTGGGAATGTCTTTATATTTAGGAATCCATCATCTACTTGAAATTTTTAGCTAAATGCCTTAGGAGTGAACTATCATTTAAAAAGTATCAAAAACTATGATTCCAAACCACTTCTTATTCAAGATGAGGAATATAAAAATATACCACTATGTTCTGGGCAACTGGAAAAGTAGATTTTAATTTTCATTCCAAAAATGAGAGACTGAAAAATCAAAGATTTAGGACCACAATCCACAACCCTCCTCCCAAACTCCAGTCTGTCTTTGATAAAAAGCTATGAAGAAAAAGTTTCAGGAAACTTTCAGACATTTATAATTAACATAAACACTGTATACCAAGCTGTCTAAGTCAAAGCTTCTAATTATTCTGAGATACAGGCTCAGGCATGTGGCAATGGAGTACTGTCTGAAAGGTCATTTCAACATCAAGTCACGGACCTCCTATTTATATAAGGAAGTAGGGCAGAAATGCAGTGTGCACACTGCTGCCAGTTTCTTACATGGGTGTGCTGACATGGCTGAAAAGCCACTGGGACCTTCACTGCCGAGGTTTCTTACCTTAAGTCAAATACTTTCTGCTCAGTATTGGATTGAGGTACAAACTAGATTAAAAATAGAACCATCCAAGTTTTTTTTTTCTCCATTTATTTAAAATAAATGCTTTGTTCTTCTGTAGGTATTACAAATTATTTAAACTTACAGAAGCTTTTCTTTGACAGTAATTCTATGAATTTTAATACCCAATCTTTTCGGCTAAGGTCACCTTCAACACTTGATAAGATGCTCACAACCCAACAGTACCAGTTTGATAGGATAACTCTTGGTCCTCAATGCAGACCCATAGTGCTGACAGGTCTTTTGAGATCATCTAGTTGAAGTTCTTCATTTTATAGAATAGGAGCATAGAGAGGCTCAGTGACTTTTTCAAGGTTATGGCTGTATTTAAAATTGCAACCCTAGTACTCCTGATTCCCCTGACCCTGCTCCATGTTTGTCTAACACTTAGTACCTGTACTCCTTACGGATTATGTTTATTGTGTTTATCCCCGCTGACTAGAATATAGTCCTTGGAAGGATGGAGGCCTCTGTCTGGTTTGTTCCATGTATATATCACTAGCATCTTGAATAGCGTGTGGCACCAAAGTTATTCCATACATGTTTGTTGAATGAATGAAAAAATGTTGGTTACAGCCTGAGCCAGGACTAGAACTAAAGTGCCTGCTTTCTTTCTGCCAATATTTCCAGAGTACACTGAAAGTTTCCTTATATGAAAAAAAGGAGTTCTATCCTCAAATTTGGGAAATGCCAGGTTAAACAAAACGACTTTCTTTGCTATAGGTCCTTTCATACTGAATAGTAGTTTCCCAACTTGTATGACTTCAGAATCCACTTCCTCCATTCCTCTGATATCTCAGGAGACCAGTCTGTTTCTTAATATTATTTGACTAATATATGTATTATTTTACTATATGTAAACTATTTTCTTAGCTGAGACATAAAGGTTGCTACAAACACTTAAACATGAGCATTCTCTGTTATCCTTAAATCCTTT